GTTCCTCCTTTTGCTCAAGTAGCTTTGGTGGGTTGACCCTGGCTGGACTCCAGGTGCTCACCAAAGCTGCTCTATCGCTCTCCTCCTCAGCTGGGCGGGGGGGGAGAAAATAGAACGAAAGGCTCCTGGGTCAAGATAAGGCAGGGAGAGATGGCTCAGCAGTCACTGTCACAGGCAAAACAGACCTGGCTTGGGGAAATTAGTTTAGTTTATTACCAATCAAATCAGAGTAGGATAATGAGAAATAAAACCAAATCTTAAAGCACCTTCCCCTACCCCTCCCTTCTTCCTGAGATTAATTTTACTCCTGATTTTGGATATCTGCTCCCCTGTGGGCCTCCGTGGCTGCTGGGGACAACCTGCCCCACCATGTCCTGCTTCCCAGACTGCGGGGGAACCTCTGCTCCGGCGCCTGGAGCACCTCCTGCCCTCCTTCTGCACTGACCTGGGGTCTACAGAGTGGTTTCTCTCACGTATTCTCACTTCTCTCTCCACCTGCAGTTGCTGGTCCACAGCAACTTTCTTTTTTTCTGCCTTTTTAAATATGTTCTCACAGAGGTGCTTCCAGCATCGCTGATGGGCTCGGCCTTGGCCAGCAGCAGGTCCGACTTGGAGCTAGCTGGTGTTGCTCACCACAAAGCAATGACTTCTACTGAAACAAAATTTTTATTTCCTGCTGTTCTTCAGTGAAAAATAAAACTCTAACAAAGCTTGGAATTTTTGGAAGCTCTAGGAGGTTTTGTCGTGGGTTTTTTTTGTAATTTTTTTTTTTTTCTCCTCCCCTGCGAAAAAATCGAGGGGAGATGAGGATGATGTAAAGGAAAGACTGTCATGGAAACCAACTAGCGTTTGGAATCAGCTCTGCCATTTTTAGAAACAAGGCCATGTGCTGAAAGAATCCAGAGCAATCTGGTCCCTCCAAACTGGTTTTGGTGAGAGGCTGATGGTAGGAAGATGCATAAATGTTACCACCTGTCTAATAGGTATTCTTACTTGTGTTAACCTTGGATTAAGAGTAAATTTCTGCCTTCGGGAATCACACCTGAATTCAGTGACCTGGGTACGTGCTGACCTGTCAAGTCTTGTGTTGTAACCGTTCCTGTATATGGTACCTCCTCAGGGGTTTTATAGTAGTAGTGTGGAAAACCAGTTCACCAGGTGTGGGATTCCTGGAGCTTGGTGGGATTCCACTCTTTCTTCTCTTCTTGTGCATCCCAGTGTAGGTCTGTGGCAGGAGGAGGACTGCGGGTTTTGCAGAGGTTCAATATGCTCCCTTGCTGAGGATACCACGGTGGAAACTTTACCACGTCATGTTCGCTGGACTATTTTCTTCAATTTTATGTGTATTTTCAAATTGTGTTACACTTCTGGACGTGAGGGAGACGGGTTGACTTGTTTTCTGATGAATGCAGTGAGACTTTTTAGGAGAAAATCCTTTCGTATTATGCAGTGGAGCTGTTAGATATAAAATATTTATGACTGAGGTTTTGTGTGCTAGAGAGCTCAAAGCTGAAGTTTTCCAAATCATGTCTATAAATATAAAGACCAAAAATTTCAAACTTTGCATGCTTAAAGCTGGACGCCTTGATTTGTAAGAGCTCTCAGATTCCCAGGGACTTTAGCAGTAGAAAATTGCAGAAGTGATGTAGGTGCTTCAGGGGCCCTCCTGGTCCCCGCTGAGCAAATGGCTGTGATGATTTAAAAATGGAATCGGCGTCCGGTGGGGGGTGGGACAGACAGACAGGCGTTCTCCCAAAATTGCTTAGAGACTTCTTAGTGGTATCTGTCTGCCTCTCAATCCACGTAGGTGTTTGTTACAGAATCCTGCAGTTGTCGAATACTGTCCCAACTGCTGCTGATGTGAGCGGAGAGGGAGGCTGGCGGTGTTGCTCGAAAGCCTTCAGTGGAAACGTGAGAGGACTGGGGATCCTAAGAAAGCTAATAGACTGCCTTCTAAATTGACTCCTAATTTGTTTACCAAGTTTCGGACCAAAGCAGATGGATACAGCGGTGACATTAAGCTGTGAAAATTGGAATAGATCATTTGCATAAACAGATTTGCTATGCAATTACTAGGTTTCCACGGAACAGCGATGCATAGAATATAGGGAAGTGAGAAGCAACTGGTGATGCCAGCTAGCTAATTTTTGGATGTAAATAATTCGACTGTTTCAAAATTATTTTTAAAATTAAATTACTGTGACACAAAGCACAAAAGATGACAAATCTCATTTGGAGCATTGTGTTTGTATTTTGAGAGGGAGGGTAATCTAGGGTGATGTGTTGCATGTCAGGTTTTGGATCAAAACAGGTACAAACTGGTGGTGACTAAAGTGTGCTTTTACGGAGCTCTGTATCTTTGGTTTAAATGGAAAGCAGTTGCAGTTTATTTTGGAGTAATATGGTTTCTAAAACTGCAGTACGTTTCTTTTTTGCTTATATACCTGGTCACCAAGATTTCCTGGTGTTAGTACCTCATACTAAAGATTGTAGCCTGCACAAAATCCACCATTCTCCCCTTTTTCCTCAGCTGTGAGTCTTAGGAGAGATTGTTCTGCTGCAGCGGAGTCCAAAGAGCTGTGATCTGATTGGAAAAGCACCCGAAGTTAATTACTGTAGGGCATCTCTTTGTAGTCTGCTTAAATGGATACTTGCTGCTGGAAATGGGAGAGGCAGATACCTCCTTCCAGCATGATTTGGACATAACTGGGAAGAAGAGGATAATACAACTTTTTCAAAGAGAGATGCTGGCATTTGAGTCTCCCGGAGGTGTGAGTTTTGCCTACGCTGCTTTGAGTCAGATCCAGGGTAGTCTCTACCCACTGCTGCAAACTGGCTTGAAGCCCACATTTTTCTGTCAGATTTGTTTATCCATTTTTATATCCCACTTAGCTTCTACTGCTGATGGAGAAGAAAAATTATTTTTCTTCCTACAGAAATTCTGTTCCTTAGAAAATTAGGACAATCACATCCAGCTTTTACTAAAAGTAGCTTACAGGAATGGCACATTTATTACTGTAATTAGTTATTTTCTTATGTAAAAGACCTATGAGGTTTATTAACTTGGTGATTCTCTTAATGTTAAAATTCACAATGAGACTCTCAAGTGTCCTATTACATCCTAAAGTAATTCTGTGCTTAGTAACAGTCACTCAGCCAAGGACAGGTTTATTTAAGGATATAAATATTGTCCTTGTTTTTCTTCAGTGAGTGGGTGCGCATGCTCTGTGCAGCTGTGGGACAGTGGAGTTAAAGCGTTGCGTGTGTTCGGGGCTGTGAAAGGCGCAGCTGGGAAAGTGAGAGTCCTGGCTTCAAATCATTCAGTAATGCCGAAAGGGGGGAGCTCATTCATCATAGCTGCAGCGTTCCTTTTCCAGGAGCGGTGCTGGAAAGAACAGGAATTTGCCTGGATGCAGAGAACCTGTGATTCTGTGATTCTGTAACCTGCTCTCCTCACGCCCTGCGTAAGCTGCCGTGATGTGGGTTGGATGAGTGCAGTTGTGTAGGGTGTACGTCTGCATCTGAGCCAGGGTCATCCTGGATTCCCTGTACCAAGGGAGAAATAGATACTCCTGCAGCATGGCTGCTTTTATCCTCATCTAGTTTCCAGAAGTACGTGAACTGGACCCAAAGTGCCCGTTTATCTCTGGCGAGTGTAGAAGCAGCCTCGAGTAGGTAACACGGTTGTAGCTGCGTACCTCGTGCGTGTTTGGAGTGGAATGAGATGAATCGCTGCCTCCAGCTCTGTTAGTTAATGAGTACAGGCACGGTGAGTGATTTTGACTGACTTCCTGCAGCTCTTTACGATCTGGTGAGGCACATAAATTTGATCCACATCAAGCTGTAGGAGAGCTCCAGGGAAGGGGATAAGAAAGGTTCCCCCATTGCTTGTGGGCTCCTAGCTTGAATTGTAATTGCCTGACTCGAAAGTTTTGGGGGCAAGGACCAAGTTGTTGCCATGTTTTACATTGCGGTGTACAGCTGCATTCTGTTGTATGTAACAGCTTTGGGACTGGTCGTCTCTGTTCAGAGATCTTTTGGCGGACCCACTTGGAAGCATTGATACTGATCTTCTGGATCAGGGAACTCATCTGTTGACCCCTGTCATTAGGAAATGGATTTCGTGTCATACTTTTATGTTCCAGGCCTGTAAGAGAGGGAATACTGAAGTGCCTCTCTTCCTCTGGCTTCAGCATTCACTACTCTGGACATTATCCATGTTTTGTAGTTCCTCTGGAGCTAGGGGCTGTTCCAGCACAGTGAGAGATATGTGTGGTGCTGAGTGTTTGAGTCCCGTGTGCTGGTGAGTGCCACACTGGCAGAGATCACGGCTTATGAAAAAGCAGCTGGAGGAAGGAGAGGATGGGAGAGTGTGACAGGACGGAGTTTGGAGTTCTGGCTTCACTAAAGTAAATGAATTTTAGTGAGGAAGGAATTTTAATATGATCATGCACTTGCACCAATAGCTTCAAATATCTTTTTGAAAAGCTCACCTCCCACATGTAAGCAGCTCTGTCGTTAACTTGGTTTTCCACTGTATCAGCTAACCAGCTTCTTCTGGTGCCTCTGCCTGAATCTAAGTGCACGGATGTTTGGAAAAGCAGGTGCTTAATGAGGAGTCTTAAGCATGGAGTTTAGGAATGTAGGCTAGACTCTGACCTCTGAAAATCTCTTTTTTTAGAAACCAGAAGTAGTAATGAATAAAATACTGGGTCTCGCAGTTATTACTGAGAATTAGCAAGGCTCTGTAACACGGTTCAGGAGGAGATCATCCTGTGATCTGAGATGATATGATCTGTATGATACGATATGATGATCACATACTAGATCGTAATCCTGAGGTTCAGGTTTCCTTGTTAAAAAGGCAGAAGTACAACTTCTAGCACATCTGAGATTTCAGCTGTATGTGTGCATATATGTAAAAATATGTGGGCTACTGCTTATCAGGTGGTGCAGTCAAATTCTAAGTTCCTTGCTTTTTTCTTTCGTCTTTTCTGCAGGCAAGAGGTGCAGATATCCCTGACATTTCAGGGGAGTTGCCGCTCCGGACCTGTGGCAGCACAGCAAGTATGAAAGTGAAGAATGTGAAAAAGTAAGAGCTGTGTTCTTTGATTTTCCTGTCTTTACTGGGCCTCTAGTTTTGATATCCTGGGTTTTAGCTATTGTGCTGCAATACAGCTAGGGCATTCGGCAGCAATTTTTGATAGTACCTTTATCCAGCAATCACAATCCATGTGAAAGTAAATTACAGCTAATGCAGTCTACAAGTGGGGGCATGAGAGGTTTTGTTGGCTCTCTCACCTGTTGCTGGCCACGGAAGCAAAGCTTGTTAGAGTTTTGAACCTCATTATTACTGTGTTTGTAAATTTTTGTGATTTCTTCCTGAAACGGATTAATTTTAAAAAAAGAACATTTATCTATATATATATATAAAAACCTAAAGAGAAGCCCAGGCAATGTATAAATGAGATAATTTCCCCTGTCTCGCGATGCTCTGGGAAGCTAAATCAGGACAAATGGGTGGCCTAGTATTTTTTATTTGCTATTTTCTGTTTTCCTGTTTTTCCTTTTTTTGAATTCTGCCATGTACCTTTTCATTTGAATGGGTTTTGCACAATTTTTCTTCTCTGATCTCCCAGACTTTTTTTTTCTTCTGTGGGATTACACTCTGTCATTCTCTCCCAGAGAATGTAAACCAACTCGTGCTTGCAGCTGAGGTTTCAAACCTCTAACCTGCAAAGGGGATCACAAGTAATCAATATTACTTGCCTTGCCTTTGGTAAGAATGCTGACTTGAGGACCAGAGCTCCCCAATATTGATTGATCTGTGCATTCAGATCACCCCTCCGTGCTGCTCTGATGCTGTAAGGGAAATGGCTCTTTGTTCTAGTGCTGAGCAGCCAGATGCTGCATCTCACTTCCCACTTGTATTCCCGTGGGAAGAGACAGCTAGATAATGACAATCTCATTGGCTCACCACCAGAAATATCTATAGGAGCCTATAATAGCTTCAGCAGAAGCAAGAGCATGTTGCAGAGCTAGAGGATCTCCCCGTCGGCCATCACGGTAGCTGGAGACACTTGGGAATAATTATGCCTCACTTTTGAATTTTAAAAAGGCAAAGGATAAATAGCGTTTGTTCTGCACCCTCAGATACATCAACCCGGGACTGATGGGCTGTGATGCCTTTCACAGGTAAAGTTCTACTTTCCTATGTGTCTCGTGTAAGGCTGTTTATTTGCACTGCTAAAATGCCTCTGTAAAGGTAGAGCGGCTTGTCCCTGCACCGTTTCTTAAAGATGTGGGCTTTGGGGTTGATGAAATGCCACACAATTCTTTAAGGATGCGATCATAAAAGCCTCTTTGCGATTTAGTTTTCCTTTCTCACTCAGTTCCTTTCTCCACTGTTTTGGTGCATCACATCAACAAACTCCTCTGTTCCCTTGGCTTTGGGATGAGCAAGTCATGATTGTTTTAGATCAGTAACTGCATTTTATAACTGTGCTTGGTGCTGAGCGTTGTGTCAGTGACGTGCATCTATCTTACGGTGTGCTTTTGATGTGCTTCAGGTTATCCTTTACAAAGGGTCATTTCCCCAAGATGGCTGAATGTGCACACTTCCATTACGAAAACGTGGACTTTGGCAACATCCAGGTGAGTTTCAGATTTCTTTTGTATACAAAACATCGTTGTGTTTGGCTACCAATTAATGTGGTGGGGGAGGCAGCAGAGGGACCTCCACTGAGGCTTGCTTCATTTGTTGCAAAATTAAAGATAAGAAGTTAAAGCACTAGGGACTCTCTGTCTAGAATTGCTGCCATGTACTGGGCCAGAATCTGTCCTCAGCAGTGTGGCCACCCCTTTGAGGCTGCAGATGATTTTATTTCCGCTGGATTTGACTGATGTCACGGTTTTAAGATTGCATCAAACATTCGTTATTGACTTGTCTGTAAGAACTGCATGCATATTTTTAGCTTATGTGTGTGTGCATCTTGAAACAATTGTGTATTTCTACAAATACAAATCAAATTTATCCGTTCTCTTCATGTTATCTTAGCTCTGCATTGTGCAGTGCAGCAGCTGTGTCATCAGAATACAAGAAATTGCTAGTCAGCCGGAGTTGCATTTCTAGAAGCGTGCAGGCTTCACTGCTTTGCGATCCGCCCGTCAGAAACATAGGCGGAAACGTTGTTCACTGAGCAGCACCGGGGAGGGCTGAGAACCAAGAATCGCTGCTAGTTTCTGAAAAACAGGGCACATCTTGTTCTGCACTCAGAGAAGTAGGAATGCCTCCAGCGTCTGCCAGCCTTGTAGCCAGAAAGAGGTTACAACCTTTTCATTTGTACAACATTTCCTGTAATATAGAGTGAATTATTTACAGCCTTTCATGTTTCCGTACTTGACAGTTTTGCAGGCAGAATTATGCATCTGTTCTTTCAGCCTCTGTGAAATTCCTACTGAGCAAGCGTTCGGGTCCTGTTCAGGGCTCGTATCTACTGTTATTCACACTCAGTGGCCCTAAGTAGGTCCGTTCTGCCGAGCACGGGGTGTATGTGCATTGGCAGACGCACACACACGCACAGGCAGAGCAAGTTACACAAAATAGCGGGCTGAAGAGGACACCAGTGCAAAGAGCTCAGTTCTTAACGGGATCTCTGGGAGATGGGCTGCTGGCACAGACAGGAGCGGCCCTCGGGCTTCTAAAGCAAATCTGTGTTTCTTTATTTTCAGTTTCTGCGTGTAGGAATAGTGCGACTAATCTACGTCCTGATTTTTTGTCTCCTGGTAACTTTCTGACTTGACACCGCTAATTCTTGAGTCCTCTTGGCGAGAAGTTTTATGTTGGAGTAGGTGCTGAGCAGGTTTCTGTGTACACACAGACGGTTTTTGCATTGTGTGGTCCTCCTGATTTTTCCTTTCTATCATTCAGAGATATTCAGCACAACGTGCAAGCTAGAAAGAGATTGCAGCCTTTGCAGGGCACTAGTATTTAAAGCATTTTGAAGACAAATAATTTTTTTGTGGGTTAAAGCATTTCTTGGAATGTTTAAAGGATGGCAGGACATACTTGTAGGGTTGATATGCTGAGGTTTTTGTGTTTGTGAGAGGGACAAGTAAACTCAGATAATATATTCTTTACGGATTTTCTTCATGTTGTTCTGCCAGCAAACCTGAAACGTGTTCTGGTGGGAAGTTTCCACAGGCAGGAGCTGGTGCTGTCTGGCACTCATTTCTGTGGTGCCATTGCTGCACCTCCAGCTTTCCCCGCTCCTGCTCAGCTGTCCTCTGTGCTCTGCCCTCTGGCACGAGCAGAACACCGACGGCTGTAACCAGAGGAGTGCTCTGGCTGAAGAACAGTACCTGGGGAAGGTAGCCCAGGAGGAAAAAGCAGGACTGGTTGTTCAGCCACGTCAGGCCCCCGAGCTGTTTTCGCTCACCGTGTCTGCGTTGTGAAGCCGGGAGGAGATCGGTGGGAGCATGGGAGGCACTGTCGGAAAAGTGTGGTGGTGTGGGTGTTGGGGGGGTCAGTTCTCTGCTTCCACCACCGCTGCCTCTAAAAAACCATACGTGCTTAAATATCTGTGGACATAAAGCATAACAAGCGCTTCAGTAAGGGGAATCAGGCCCCGAAGTACCAGCTCTGTGCCTTTTGTCCCTTTCCTTTTTTCTTAAGCAAGATTTCTGCTACATCGCCATGGTGTGATGACTTTTTCATATGGATAAAACCACCTAAAGAAGAGAGCTTCGCTCCTGGAGTACAAAAGGCTAGGGCATTACAGTATTTCCTTAAAAGGAGCCATATTAATGGTAAAATAAATGGAAGCTATTAATACAACAGCAGTGTTAGTTTACAGATTTAAAAATAGGTTCATATAGAGCTCATGCATTTTAATGAAGCGGCATTCATTGGTGGCTCCTTTGTGGTAACAAGGTAGACTGGAGAATAGCAGCAGGCTAAATGTAAATGACAGCTTGGCACTTAATAGCGAATTGCCGAGTTGCATCTGAGGGGTAGTGGGTGTAAACTCCTTTCAAAATCTATTCACTGTTAAAAATTTGCATAGCAGAAATGCAGTATTATCTGGCTGTGTCAGGAATTGTGTAATGCTGTCTATTAACGGCCTGGCCAAATTTCAGATTGTTTTGTAACGTTTATGTCACTTATAATATGGTCTCATGGTGCAATTGGTATTAATATCTTGGCATTTCACCTCCTGAGATCATTTTAAATTAACTTTCCGAGATGTATAAAAAAGGATTTGTTCTCTTCTTATCCTAGCACCATGCTAACAAAACTGGGTGCATTTTGGGATGCTGCTTCTCTTCAGAAATGTTCTGCTCCACTGCTTTTAACAGCAGTGTATTTTAACCTTATCTGCGCCTGGCCAGCAAGACGCACGTTGCATCAGCAGGAAATTGCTGGTTTACCAGGCAACGGTAGTTGCTGTCAAAGCTGTAGTTATGAGACAAGCTTTACAGATTGCATCAGTGTCAGAAATTCACTGGAGTTTTGCTGAAATACCTTACATTTATTATTGCATCTGTTTTTTGAGACTACATCATTGATTTTTAATTTCACCATGAAACGCCAGGTTCTGTGTAACAGATTTATTTTAGTCTAGCATTGGCTAAATGTTTAGGAGTCTTGTTTGCAGGAGCAGACCTATGGTTCAACCTTGCTGTGGTCTGTGTCTCCCAAATGAGATGTCATCAGGCTGTGGCTAGATTGCGATCACTCAGCATCGGTCAGGTCGGTTCCGCCGGCTTCCTGCTCTGTTAAGCTCCACTGCCTTTCTGCAGTTCTTGGCTAACGTCTGCTTGTAGTGCCTCTCCTCTGTCTTAGAACTTCAAAACTCAACTCACTGATAGACGAAGCAAGCACTGCTTGCACATGCATTGCTGTGCAGGCATCTTAGTGCTCAGTTAAGTGCTGAAGTAGGATTCGGCAGTCCTCGGCATCGCTTCCCAGTCTCACGTTAAGGCAGAAGGGCGCACCACGCATTGAACTTCAGAAGTGCCTAAATCATCCCAGTCTAACTTAAAATCAGTTCACAATCGGTTTCTAAGGCAGCTTATTAAATTTGAGGGTGATTTCAAGGGGTACTAGTTGGAAGAGCTTCCTTCCTAGGGGTTGGGTTGTTCCAGCACCGTGCGGTGTGCTGCAGGCAGCTGAACTAACGGCAGGAGTTGATGTGTGCACGGTGAACAGTGCAGCAGCTTCCCGACGCTCATCAGAGTTGAAGTTCGATGCGTGAGCATGGTGCTCAGCCCAGGCTAATTTGATTCAGGTTCCAGGTTTTGTGGTTGAGTGGTAGAGCTGCTCAAGGTAGCTCATTCACTGTAATTCAAGTCTCTTAGTACAGCAGTTGTGTCACGTAGTCTCGCTGCCTTTTGAGCTCGAAGGCTTGTTAGTAGATAAGAATTGAACTATTTCAACAAAACCTCTGTATTGCCAAGTTACACAAAAGTAGAATGATTCCCCCCCCAACATGGTGCAAATGTGATTTTACTTAGTGCAATGTGCTGTTAATATAAACAGGAAAAATAAAGACTAGGTATTCTGTAAATATTTTTACTTCCTGACAGAAGTAAAGACATTGTTCTTCACTTGAAAGAACTAAGAAATTATCTTTAGGTGAGTAGGTTTTAGTAATGGAATACGGAGAGCTGAGCAGCTCTGTGCTTTCCAGATAATATTCTTTGCTCCCTGAAAAACGCATCGCTAAAGGACAGAAGGGGCTGTCATGCACATTCGTCCCACTTCCGCAGCCTGGCATTTGACAGAGATTTACCCCTTCGGACAGCGTGGTCTCTGCCTCTCTGCGTTTGCGTTTATGTAGCTGCCTTCTAAAAATAAAGCCCTGTCGGAACAGGATTGGATTACCGTGCATGGAGGATCCTCTCCTTATCTGCTAAGCCTCTGCAGCACGAGTGGTAGGAGCCTGTTATCAGCGGCAAAGGAAGTATTTGAACCAGAATCGCTTCCGCCCGCGGAGGCACCAGCTGCCAGGAATTCCTGGTACGAACTCGGCCGTATTGTTCGCTGCTTGAGTGCCTTTGGCAGGCTGCAGCCTTCCAGCCACGCCGACGGGCTGCCGTTCACTGGTGGCTGTGGTTCACGCCTGGAATTGTGTTTTCCTGTTGCATCTCAAGAGTCAGAAGCGTTGCAAAGAGCAGTTCAGTTGTTCTTGTGCCTTTTGTCGGCAAAGCCTGTTGAGAAGATCTTTTTTCGGGGTCATCTTCTTTTGGTTTGCCTTTTTTCTTCTATTTAATAATATTCCAGGGCAGGGGGTGTGGAGAGGAAACGTGGTTGTGAAGGTGTCTTTGTTAATTTTGCAGTAACGTTTTTTCCTGTGGTGGACTGCAAAGGGAACAAAAATGAGAAAGCCTGACCAGATGCCCTCCTCTGGAATTAACTGGGGTAGTTTAAGATGGTTTTGCCCCAGCTAAAAGCAGTCCTCCACATAGATGAGCTAGAAACAACAGGAATGGGGGAGTGCTCCCACAGAATCACAGAATAGTAGGGGTTGGAAGGGACCTCTGTGGGTCATCTAGTCCAACCCCTGCTGAAGCAGGGTCACCTACAGCAGGCTGTAGGTGATCTATGTCAGTGTGAAGTCGGACAGCTTAGCTTGAATCTCCTTCCATCAGTG